TCCAAAAACACATAAAGAAAATATTATACTAGGAAACAATGAATAAAATTGATAACTAACTAAATGAAAACAAGGGTTAACTTTGTGAAAGGATTGGTCCTATAGAGAGGTGTGTGGTTATGTATACGAGTAGAAGTTGAATGGGCATTGTGAGGTGTTATGATAGGACGGTGAAGATGATAGGGTTTATTGAGGGTCGATGACGACATTGCATATTGGTGGAAGGAGGTGTGAGGAATTGACGAAGACAAGATACATGAGGTGAGTCAGATGCCTGAATTAAAAGTTCGACCGCAGATGGTTTTAAAAATAATAAAAAGTTTGTTATAGGTATAAAACATTTTAATAAAAATTTGAGTTTAATTGAATCGATAATACTCTATATGCATCGATGAAATGAACACTTGGAAGAACCCAAAATTAGATTTTAGCATGTAATTTATCCCTTTAAAAGTTTACAGCTACTTTTGCCGAACTATTCTACACAAACAAAACTATATGTAATTTATCCCTTTAAAAGTTTACAGCTACTTTTGTCGAACTATTCTACACAAACAAAACTATACTACCAATTAGTTTTGAAAACATACCCTTAACGTATGATTATTAAAATTGTCATTAATGAGTTCAAAAAATATTAGTTTTGTGTGTCGTGTTTTTGGAACGGTTAACTCACACCCTCTAAATCTTACTCCCAAAATTACATATTTTCCATCACGAGACTTGAACTCTCGTAACCTTAGAGGAGATATACATTTCAAACACATGATATGATTGCTTGACCAAGAGCCCTTTGGTTCATATGTATTTAATGTTAAACAACTTTATGGATAACTAATAACAATCTTATATAGTTAGTGTAGATATAACTAATAACAATTCCTATATATTTATGGTAGATATAACTAATAACAATTCCTATATATTTATGGTAGATAGAGCCATAGTTTGTTTACATATCCTACAAAAACCATAGTTAGTTTACATATCCTACAAAATGCGGGAAGCATAGGAAATTGGATAAGATGCAACCGTGATTTTTTAAATTTCACACAACAACATTATATGATGTAGACCTTATCATCTCAACCTTAGTAGCAAGGATTACCGCTCACTCATATACAGGTTCTCTTCGTTTTACAAACATATTATATGGATTCATTTGATCTTGGGATTGAAATTTGGTAATAATTTGGCACAGTGGGATCATGATATGCAAGTTCCCCATCAGTCGACTCAAGCATGGATAAAGACCTTGATTACAATGTCACCGATCAATGGCGCTCATGGAAGCATCAAGGTCAAATCGTCGGGTAATGTATCATGTTTCATGTTGTTATTAGTCATGCCATAACATGATACCAAATCTATTGAAGTTAGATTGTCATGTTTGTCATGTTTTGTACAGGTATACAAGAGTTATTCGAATAGGATGACATTTGCTACTGTGAAGGCAAGTAACCAGAATGTTATTGTTTCCTATGTTTATAAAGATTGTTTTTATTTTTGAACGATAGGTCACTTGAAGTTGAAGCTTGTGAGATTTGAATCTGGATCGATGCATTTTTTTGGTGTGTTGCAGGGTGCAGGGCACATCGCAACTGTATATAAAACCGAAGAATGTTTTATGATGTTAAGAGGTGGATTGACTATCGACCACTGTAACCAAAAATACCGGTTGCATAGCCTATAGGGAACTAAAGAGATTACATAGCACTAATAATATCCAGAAACCGTAAGAAAATTGCTATCATTTTACCGATACCATTAATTTTCAGAAAATGTAATCGATATTCCACATAATCTCTATAGCCTTATAGGTTAAACAAATGATGCAATATGCAAACAGTATTCTTCGGTTATATAGTTGTGAATCATTAATTTAACCACAATTAAAAAATATAATAATTTCAATGGACCTAAAATAACACTATGAATTGTTAAGCATCAAAGGATATTAATTGTTGAGTTTTTCTAGACTTTTTCCTAAAATATACAAGCATCGTAGATTTAAGCTATGAGTTTTGGCTCAATTATCTTAGAAAGCTTTGCGGCTTGCTTGGATATATAAAAAAATGTTGAGATATACATGATTAATTTTATATAGAGTAAATTACACGAATGGTCCCTATGGTTTAGGGTAATTTGCATGTTTGGTCTTTAACTTATTTTTTTAACTCGGAAGGTTCCTACTGTTTGTTTTTGTTACGCACTTGGTCCCTGTCTTACCTAAAAAGACTATTTTGTCATTGATTTTTTAATTTATTTAAATAAACACACCTCCAACCCTACCCCTTCACCTTACCTTACCTACCCCACAATTTTTTCCTATTTAACGATTAGTCTTTTTAGGTAAAACAGGGACCAAGCGCGTAACAAAAACAAACAGTAGGGATCAAACGTGTAACAAAAAAAATAGTACGGATCTCCCGAGTTAAAAAAATAAGGTAGGGACCAAACACACAAATTACCCCAAATCATAGGGACCATTCGTGTAATTTACTCTTTTATATACAGATAAGTACGTAATCTTTAACAGAAACGTTATATATAGCCAATTAAAACATTAATGCAAGTTTGGAGTTTTTTCCTCGTAACTATTTTATTTTGTTTCTATGTGAGATTGTCAATTGTCAATGGCATGATATCAAGGTTTCCAAACAAAACACGTTATTTTAACTTAATTTAAAAGTTCAAAGATTTAGTTTAAAATAGAGCCGTTTTAGATCAATATACCCATTTATAACCTTATAAGTAATTTTTCTTTAACACGTGACGTGATTAGACTTTATTTTAATTTTGCTCCGCCTAATTATGTGTTTGGTGTTGGTGTAGAATTTGGGGGCTTTTGTGGACTTTCTTGGCCAACAAGCTAAACGACGACCATTTTTGAGTCAGAAGAAAGGACTATACGACAGAGATGTGTGATTAAGGAGAAAAATAAGTTTTTTTTTTTTTTTTTTTTTTTTTTTTTTTTTTTTTTTTTTTTTTTTTTATAAATATTTGATGGGATCGGACATTCCTTGAAGCAATATTGGATAAAAAGGAAGAAAAAGACATTAATGTCTTGTGTATAAATGAGAGATTGACATCAAATCGTGTTTGTTGTTCCACTTTTTTTAGTAGGAAAAAAAACATATAATGTTTGTTTCATTCACATAGTGATTAGTCATAGACTTCAATATGTTCCATCTTTTGGTTTTTCATTAAGAGTATCAAATGAAAATTAAATTGATTGGTTGGCTTTAGGAAACCCTATTTCTTCTATGTAATTTTTCTTGTTATCTAGCATCTTCTTAGGTTTTTGGTATAAATCATGTTCATACAATAATACAACATGTTATACGATGTTCAAATGGGAGGAATGAAAGGAGGGCTGGGTTAAAAGAAAATGTCTACTTTGACTTTTAAATATATGATGTCGTTCTCATTATAAAATTGTCACGCTATTTTATCTTAACGTGTTGTTATTGAATTTGTCTATTGATTTGTGGAAAAGCATAAAAGGACAAATATATAATATAAGATAAAGTTACTATTTAATATTACGTAATGCCATAACCCAACTAATTCTTCCTATCAAATTTGAGAGTGCTAAATAGCTTAGAGTTACCTAACATTTTTTTGGTTGAAGGGAAGGAAATTAAATCATGCCCAATATCATGTATCGTTTTTTCATCATCTCCCTTTGTTTGTGTGTTGCAAGCTCAACATCAAAAGGAAGAATAGAGTATCTTCCAGGATTTCAAGGACCTCTTCCTTTTTATTTGGAAACCGGGTATCCATGTATTCATTATATTTCTAGACTTTGCATCTTAGTTATCATGTTTTATGTTAAACATATCCATAATGTGTAGCTATGTTGGCGTGGATGTGAATGAGGATGTTCAATTGTTTTATTACTTCATTCATTCTGAGTCAAATCCCAAAGACGATCCTCTCATACTCTGGCTTACCGGTGGTCCGGGTTGTTCCTCCATTTCTGGCCTCCTCTTTGAAATCGGTACTTTTATTTACTTTTTCTTGGATGCTTGTGATTAAAAGGATGGATTGCCATTATATAAAGAATGTCATGTTAAGGTTAATAATGATTTTATTTTCGTTAATGATGGATTGTTGATGATAATTGATAAATAATATAAAAATAATCAAAGCTAATTTGTCCTTTCTGTAGTTTAGCCTTTCGATGATTGGCAAATTTAGAGAGAGGGAAAGGAGAGAAGATCTCTGAGTTTTGATTATTGAATCAAGGTTAAGTTACATACAATCTCAACAACAGAAAACTAATAAAACTAACTCGACTAACTTCTAACAAACTTGCATGTGTTTCAACTTTCAACTATCACTCATACACTAACATAGCCTTATCGGCCGGCCCGATTTAGCAAAACCTTCACATTTTGTGGTGGGATCCCAAGTATACAATAAAAGTTTCTTTGCAATATATCACCCTTTTTCATTTATATCATGTATAATCCAACGAATTGTTATACGTTTTCTTAAAATTAAAAAAAAACATGTCACTTTGATTCAATAACTTTAAACGTGCACCCTAAATTTTAAAATATATATATATATATATATATATATATATATATATATATATATATAGATATATATATATATATATATATTAACATTAACACACACCTTTTAGCACATATATAATAATTTAGACATGTATTTTTAATATTTGGTTTTTTGATCCGATCGGAATAAAATAGGTCCAATTGAATTTGAGGCCGTGGCTTATAACGGAAGCTTGCCGAGTTTGATTTTGAGATCCCGTTCATGGACAAGGTCTCTCTCTCTCTCTCTCTCTCTCGTCTCGCTCTCTCTCTCTCCTCTCTCTCTCTCTCTCTCTCTCTCTCTCTCTCTCCTCGCTCTCTCTCTCTCCTCTCTCTCTCTCTCTCTCTCTCTCTCTCTATATATATATATAGATATATATATATATATATATATATAATATATATATATATATATATATATATAAAAAGATCTATTTTGACAAATGTAAATCTCTCATTAGTTTTGTTACTTGTCATTTTGTGATACTTTTGAAAATTCTCCCTAATAAATCAAAATTTTTTTATCACATGTCCTCTTCTCCTTCACTAGTACACATGGCATTTTCTAGAATTTTTGAAAATTTTTATTTTTCATTTATCATTTTATTGTATTTTTCATTTTATTAAATTAGAATTCCACATTTAATATATAAGGTAATATATATGTAAGGTATTTATTAGAAAGGGTTTATATATGTAATGTATTTGATGTATTAAAGTCTCGTTAATTTTAATAATTCAAAATTTTGCTCATTTTTCTTATAAATTCAAACTTCTCTAATTGTTAAAATTTCATATTTAATTTTTTTTAAATAAACTCATGTAATACATGGGTCTCACACCTAGTATTATACTAAATGAAGATAATTTTGCCACATGTCAATCTCTAATGAATTTTGACACTTGTCATTTTATGATATCTTTTAAACAAATGATATCCACATGTCAATTTATGATTTTTTTAAATTTTAAAATTAAAAAGTCACATTATACTTATATTTATATATGTAAACTATCAAATGTAATAAATGTTATACCTAATTGCAATTAATATGTTTCTTATTTCAAAATTTCATTATTTATTTCAAAATTTTATTTTAAATAATACTTATTATTTATATTATAATATTTTATTTATTTCAAAATCAACCCGTATAATACACGGGTTTTACACCTAGTATATATATATATATATATATATATATATAATATATATATATATATATATATATATATATATATATAGAGAGAGAGAGAGAGAGAAAAAAAAAATGAGTTTATACTTTTAAAAGAATTGGTTTTACCATTTTGGAGCCCAATGCCTGGTTCTTATCCAAACTAGAGATGGAAAGAAGATTGTGGATGTGTGTTATGTTCAATTATACATTAGGTTTGGTATATGGAAAGTCAAAAATGGAAACGGACAAATGAGATATTAACCGTCACCGTATGATGGTTGAATAGACGTGTAAAGAAGTTAGAATGGCTAGTTCAGTCATTCGGCATTGATCGAAAAATGAAAAGAATGTGCCGAATTTATGTGTGAGCTCGCACACATAAAAGCTCAGACATGTTTTTGTTGAAATTTCGTTCTTTTCATTTTTCGTAACCAACAAATTGATGGCGTGTTCCATTATGACTTTTTTAAAACGTGATTTTGTTTAATGTTTATGGATCGGTTACAGGTTTTCTATATAAATACAATATTTTTTTGAACACTTAAACGTTTTATTATATCACGTTCTAGATTTATATTTTGCATCATTTTTGTCTATGTTTTTTGCTTATCTTTTTATCTTATATATTTGAATCGTTATAAATAACATGTAATTCAAGTTGATTCTAATAAAACTTTGTTATGATACAGATGGCAAACATAATGTTCTTAGATATTCCTGTCGGTACTGGGTTCTCTTATGCTAGAACGACACATGCTTCTTGTTCTAGTAACATCCTATATTCCGAGCATGCCTACGAATTTATAAGAAAGGTATAGTCTTAAGGATTAGTAACACATTTTATAATTTTAAAATGTACTTTACGAAAATAATATTTCTCTCATTTTAGTTCTAACTCCAACATACATATAAGAGTGCATAGTTAGATAGTCTTTTTCGAAAAATTAGCGTGTATAATAAAATTTCAACTTCATGTTTTTACAATAATTTTATATACTTATTTTTATTATTATAAAATGGTTTTAAAATATCTAATTTACTTGTTTATAATTTTTATAAATGTTAAAGAATCCAACAACTTAGGTTGTCAGATCCATGCATGTAAAGCATTGTTAAAAATCTAATAAAACAATAGTAGTCTTTACAATATCTTAAAGGATCAAATAAGCTTTTGAGTGTAAAAAACTATATGATAAAATTTCATAAATGGTCTTAATGTTTTTTAATTTTTTCTTAAAATAGTTTGGATTAAACTTTTTTTTTGTATGGATGGTCCTGCACACAAATGGTCGACTCTTTTTTTTTCTTTATCTCTCTCTCTCTCTCTCTATATATATATATTATATATATATATATATATATATATATATATAGATATATATATATATATATATATATATATATATATATACCTCTCTCTCTCTCCACCCCTCAGCTTCTCATCTTTCCATATCTTCAAAACACACACAAACACACAGTCTCTCTTAAGAACAACCTCACACACTCTCAAGAACATACACATCCATCTTCGACTGCCACCACCTTCAACCATCTCCATCTTCGCCTATATTTCTTCTACCATTTCCATCTCCGCCAGAAATAGTTCCAAATCTCCTCTCCTTTCTCTCATTTGAAATCAATTCAGAAACTCAAATTTCCCTTTCATTTTAAATAAATTCAAAATGTCTACCCCTCGCCCTCCTTAAAATGAAGAATATCGGTTCGAGATTGCAGGTGTGGTTTTAGAGAAGACAAAAATGGTGCAAACCCCGATTTCGATTGTCGGATTTCAAAGCAAACAACGCCATCGTGTTCCCTTTGATGTCTCCTACAAATCCCACCCAAACTCGTCTCTGATCGATCTTCGGAGCAAGGTATGCCAACTAACCCTTCATCATCGACTTCATGGCATTTTTGTGGCCACCTCCAGCTGCCATTCCACAAAAAAAACCACCACCCTCTTAGTCTATGTCTCTGTCCTTCCCTTTAACTTTACTTCATACAGAGGATCATAATCGAACGGGATGAAGGAGTTATTGGTACAGTTTTGGCGCCGGCGGGTTTCCAATAAACATTACTTGATTCATCTGTTGGATATAGAGGCATTGATGTGTGTGTGTGTGTTTAATCAGAATTTGTCATCTTCCACACATACATGTTCTTGTAAGTGGGGAAAGGGATCTCGATTTTCTAGAGTGTGTGTATGTGTGTGTGTCTTGATTTTTTGGGTCTCAATTTTTTGCAAGGATTTGTGGTGGTGGTTAATGGTGATGGTTGTAGGTAATGGTGATTGTTTTGGTGGCAAGTGGTGTGGTGGTAGGTGATTTGAAAAGTAATTGTAGTAGGTGGCAGTAGGTGGTGGTAGGCAGTAGACACTGGGCGGTGGGCGGTGGCAATAGGTGGTGTGATGGTGGGTGGTGGCAGCAGGTGTATGCTCTTGAATGTGTGTATCTTTTTCGAGTATATTTGTTTTTTATATAAAGAATTAAAAAAATAAAAAAGGTATTTTCATCATTTCACAAACACATAACATAATTTGTTAACAAAAGTTAGTGATAAGGACCATTTGTGTGAAATGTTTGTTCTCTAGAGACCATCCATGCAAAAAAAATGTTTCATAAGGATTATTTTAGGAAAAAATTGAAAAGTATTAGGATCATTTGTGAAATTTTATCAACCTATTTTATGAACTTATTTCGTGCAAAGCTTTTTTAAATGATTTGCAAATGGTCTAATTTTAGGTTTGAAAGAAATGTTTGATTTTACCATTTTACGTATTTGTGGTTCATTAAAGTCTAAGAGGGTGGTGTTCACTTGGGTGATAAGAGCCCCCCCCCCCCCCCCCCACACACCTTTTGGTTTTATTCTGCCACCTTATTTCCCCTTGCTCTTCAAAACCAAAGAAACCGTCGCACTTCACTTCCCTGCACTTTAGGTTTGAGTTGATGGTGGTTTTCCTATGTTGATTTTTAACCACCACAACACTCACCATAGACGACTCCAAAAACAATTTGAAGCCCACAATTGAAAAGTTAATTTTAGGCCTTTTGATTCGCCTGGACGAAGAACAGTTCTAAGCATTTAAAACGAATCATGAGATGTGTGTAGAGGTACTAGTGATAATGCTTTACTTTTCATGGTGTTGGGAGTTACATATTTCATGTCATAGCCTTGAGTTAGGTGACAATGGTGGTGACGGTTGTTCATAGGATCACTAGGGGTGGACGGGGGTCTCTTTTGAAAGACAAATACATTAAAATAAATTACTAAATGGTAAAATGGTAGTTTAAGAAAGATAAACAAGCCAAACCTTAGAGTTAACTTTCTTTTTTTTAAACAAAAAATATATTAAACTACTTTTAAATTATTTCACATATGTCCACTGCGGGACTTGAACCCTCGACCTCAAAGAGGAAGGACAACACCAGATATCACTGAGCTAGAAGCTCTTTGGTCCTTAGAGTTAACAACTCAAGAACTATCCTTTGAAAGAAAAACCCACATGGTGCAATAAAAAAAGTTAGACTGAAATTGTTTAATCTAGTATCACATCAAGAAATCAGGAACCTTTGTGTAATTTACTCTTTTATTTAGCAAATGAATTTGGTTTTTAATTTAGTAATAATTTACATGTATTAATGTATTATTATACTAGGTGTGTGACCTATGTATTACATGAGTTTATTTAAAAGAAAAAAAATTAATATAAAATTCAAAATATTTGAGATGTTTGAATTTATAAGAAAAGTGAGAAAAATATTGAATTATAAAAATTAAAATGTTTTTTTTTTCTCTTTTAAATTTAAACAAATGATTTAGATAAATAAATAAAGGAAATTAATGAAACTTTAATTTACTAATTTTGAAATTAGAAAGAAAGCCCATTAATGAAATTGATATGCATTTATTATTAGATTTAAATAATATATGGAATTTAATAAAATAGAAAAACCATAAAATGACATGTGGAATAAAAATTAATTTAAAATAACCATAAAATTACATGTGGCAAAATGAATAAGAATGTGACATGTGGAAAAATGATCTTTGTTTATTATTATAACTAGGTTATAACCCGTGGAAACCACGGTCGTTATATCTAAATAATTTATATAGATAAAAAAATAATAAATGTCAAAAAAAACAAAGATCTTGTCGATTGTAAGTAATTATAAATTAATTTGTTAAGCAAAATAAACATAATAATGTTATTAGGATTTGATTTTGTATTTTCAAAATTTGAATTGAATTTAATTTGTTACAAAAAAAAGGAAATAATAAAAATAATAGAAAAATGTCACGTGTCAAATAGGCATTCTAAAAAACTGACATATGTCATTTTTAGATTTCATTTATTAGAAGAGGTAGATAATAATAATAATAATAATAATAATAATAATAATAATAATAATACCACTTCAGCAAAAGCGATTACTTATTTCATAAACATTAAAACATCGTTGTCTATGTTTACCAACTTAATCTAATTAATGTGCATGCTATTACACACCAAACAACATATTCCAAATTCCAAAATGGTGTCGTCTAGAGGTGGCAATGGATCGATCTGGGTTGGGTTCAGGTTCAACCCATTTAATAATTGGGTTGAAAATTTCAACCCAACCCAACCTGTTTATTTAAATGGGTTGATATTTTCATCCCAACCCAACCTTTTAGATAAATGGGTTGTCACCGGGTTGACCTGTTTATGTAGTTCCCGATCCAACCTATTAAATAAATGGGTTAAACTTGGGTTAACCCATTCAAAATGAATTATATATATTATATAGTTAAATATTAGACCAATAAATTATAAAATATAAATAAAACTTCATAATTATGACAAAAACACAATTCTAATTCATAAATACAAATAAATTGTTCAAATAACATTAAAAAAATTTAGTTTCACAGTGATTTTGGAGAGTGACCAGTATTATCAACGCTAAAAAAAGGATGAAAATTAGGATTGAATTTTATTAAACATAGATAATAATAATGCAACATTATAATTTACAAATTAATAATTTGATTAATACATGATAATATTCAAATAATATTAAATTATATATATATATATATATATATATATATATATTATATATATATATATAAGTTAAATGGGTTGGTGGGTTGAAAACAGGTTGATAATTTTTACCCAACCCAACCTATTTAATTAAATGAGTTAGACGGGTTGACCTATTTAAGTTAAATGGTTTGAAAATCTCAACCCAACCCGCTAATTTTGGGTTGGGTTCGGGTTGGGTTGGTGGGTTGGGTCGATTTTTGCCAGGTCTAGTGTCGTCGCATGCTCAAATCCCACAACTTCGAGCTTAGGAATGCTTGCTATTCGAAGAAAAAAAAATACTAAATGACTATTTATGTTTACGAGAAACATAACCGAATATAATTACTTATTTATCATTATGTTTATATCATTTGATTGTTATTTTATTTAATGCGAGCAAACATATATCCTAAACATGTTAGGTACTATAGATTGAATTCAAATGTCTTGCAAGTATTTTTTTTTTTTTTACTATACTTGAAAGCATTATGCAGTGGCTCGAAAGTCATATGGAGTTCATTTCCAACCCGTTCTACATTGGAGGCGACTCGTACTCTGGAAACCCAATCCCCATAATTACACAAATAATATCAAATGGTACGTGTTGTTGGTATGTTAACAAGTGTTCGTGAAATAGTTGCATCATAAATCTTGTGCAACTGAATTTACCATAAAGTATGTGGCAATGTGTAGGAAACGAAGTTGGCATTAAGCCTTGCATTAATATAAAGGTATCAAGTTTTGTCCTATGAAAAAATGCACTGTTTGATTACAAAACGGTTAAGTGAACCTTGTGTGACAGGGATACGTACTCGGGAACCCTTTGACATTCCCGGAAGAAGACAATTATAAAATACGATTTGCAAATGGTATGGGGCTTATTTCCGATGAACTCTATAAGGTTTGTTCTGCACAAATGGTAATCATCTCCTAAGTTTTGTTACTTGTTTTATTATCTAATGCTCTTAGTTTTCAATATCTTTATAGTCACTATTCCACAGTTGTCAAGGCGAGTATCGATCGGACTACATAAACCCAGACAATGTAGAATGTCTGCAAAATCTTGCGTTATACGAGAAAGTGTGTTACTTATTTCACATCCAATTTCTTTAATCATAATTTGCTCATATTTACACCATAATGAAAGCCAAAATATATAACTTTTGTAGTGTATAGACGGGATCCAACAGCCCCAAGTATTGGAACCATATTGTGGTGATACTGAATCGCCAATCAAACTACCTAGCCAAATGTTGTCTAAAGAGCGACGTCTACTTTCTGCATTTTATTGCCGGGTAAGTTTGTATTATAAATCTTGCAACACGACGCTCAAGGGGATTTAGGTGCTGTTTGTTTTTTCTGAGGCAAAATGTTTGCAGTCTGCAGACCACATCTGTAGACCTCTGCAGTAGAAGAGGTGGACCAAATGTCTGCAGTCTGAAAAAAGAAGACTGTTTGTTTTTTTAACATCTGCGGGCTACTAAAATAAACTGAAATTTATATAAAATGATTTTTTTAAACTTCAAAATGATTTTTTTAATATTTTTATGACTTTGTTATAAATAATTAACGAATCTAGATCAACTTTTATGTATTATTGTATAAAAAATAAAAATAAAAATAAAAATAAAAATAAAAATAAAAATGGTATGAATCAAAGTATATATTTGATAAAAACCAACAACTTTGGTTGCAAAGTTATAACTAAACATTATAATTAGTGATCAAAGAATTTGATACATAAATGGATGAAAATAAACTTCGATTTTTTCAATTAAATCCATTAAAAACGTATCATAAATATTTTCTCGAGAAATTGACGAGATACTGTATTAAATAATGTTTTACAAAATTTGGCAAAAAAATATAAGAATATATTATGATTTTTTTCATATTTATATAAACAACTTCAACGACTATTATTGTAATAAATCTTTATTTATAAATTTGTCAAAAATATCATGTTTCTATCGTCGAACGTTTTTTTTTAAGTTTTGTAATTTTTTTTTTTCAAATTGTTTATCATTAATAAAGTTGGAAAAAATATAAATTAAAAAAAAAACTTAAAAAATTAAAGATATATATGTTTTTTTAGGCTAGAAAATGTCTGAAGATGTTAGAAGACTCTGGTCCACATCTGCGCCAAAAAGAGAGCGCGCATACATTTTTAGGTCTGCAGTCTTCAGAAAAACAAACAGTCTGCGAAGGCTAATGTCTGCACGTGGTCTGCACGGCGCAGACAGAAGAGGCTACGCAGATCTGCAGACAAAAAACAAACACTACCTTACTGTTTTTTGAGTATTGTTATAGTTTGATGAAACACGTCTAGCTTATTACTGGGCAAATGATGTCGGCGTTAGAGAAGCATTGCGAATCAGAAAGGTATTCGTGCAAATTTCTAGAAAATAAAATTTTAAGTTGGTTTTGTTTACTTAATAGATACTTGATTTGATCCGGTTAGCTATATATAGATATATGTTTGACTTAATTATGAAACAGTCGTTGAATAAAGAAAACTGGGATGGGGGAGAACTTCCTTTAAATCCTGCTTTTAACAATTTTTTCTCATCTTTTTACTTATGTTTATCCAAAGTACCTTCATTTTTTTAAATTAAAGTTTAAACGAATATTCATCCAAACAACAACTTTTTTTAACGATTCATATTGTAATCCTAAACTACACCAATATCTCCGATGAGACTTGAACGACTCATAATCTAATCCTATCTACAACAATAATTATTTTTCTATACTCTTTTAGGATTAGAAAATTGATAGAGTAATATTATCATATGTAACTTTATAGCGAAATTAATAATTTAAAATTATGGTGTTACTAAACATATGCTACGAAAAATGAAGGAGAGCATTGGAACCTGGATAAGATGCAATTATGATTTAAATTTCACGACGATAGTAGATGATGTCAGACCTTATCATCTCAACCTCAGCAACAAGGATTATCGATCACTTGTATACAGGTAGTCTTTATTTTATAACACACATTGACGTTTGATCTCCCAATTAATTACATTTCAATAATTTGGCATAGTGGTGACCACGATATGGTTATTCCTCACCAATCGACTCAAGCATGGATAAAAGACCTTGGCTACACTGTTATTGATCAATGGCGATCATGGAAGGTTCATGGTCAAATCGCAGGGTAACTTACAATTGTCGTTATTTGCCATTGCACAACTTATCCTTATGTGATATCAAGGCTATATTTTGTGTGCATAAATTAGTTTACAAGTTAACTTATTTTTTGAGCTTATTGTAACATAATGTTCGATAAGACCATAAAAGCAACTTATCTTAGTTTGAAAACTAGCTTTTTGATAAGTTATTGATAAGTTGTTGATAAGCTAAAAGATAACTTTTCAACTAGTACACAAACCGAGTCCAAATGTATCGAATTTAAGTGAATTATCGTATTTGGGCAGGTACACAGAGACTTATTCCAATAGAATGACATATGCCACTGTAAAGGCAAGTACTTGGAGTGTTACATAATTGTCTCGTGTTTTAATAAGTGTTGATGTTAACTGAATATAATATTTTTTCATTGCAGGGTGGGGGGCACACAGCCCCCGAGTACAAGCCCGAAGAGTGTTTTGTGATGTTCAAAAGGTGGATACACGATCAACCATTGTAATCCATCAATGCACATTAATAAACATACGACTTGGAAGATATATGGTCTACAAATCTTGTATTGTCTATTCATTCAACAAATACCAAAAATAAAAAAGGCAATTATATTGTATAAATGAGATGTCTATCACGATACCATGCATAATTTGAAAGAGGCTAACTTAATTTATGGGTGTTTGGATGTGTGTTTTCAAAAACTTTGTGTGTTCTCAAACTGGAATATTAATTAAGATGATTAGTTGTAATAAAAAAAATAGTGTAAATAATGTTTCGATATTCTTCCACACCGTAAAGTGTGTAAAGTGTAATAAATAAATAGAGATAATGTGAATGATAATGGGATATAAGATATATTTTTTTTTACTGATGATTAGACATAGAACCTATTGAAAAACTATAGATGAGAGAGACTAAAAAAGCCTATAGAAAAACCTATTAAAACCTTTGATTCAATGTCCCGATTATAGTTCGTATGATCATGTTACTCGTAATCTAGTATGTATACTTATACTTCTAAAACATAAAAAATACATATTATAATTTCTAAAAACATATTTATGCTTCTAAAAATATATTTATGCTTCCAAAAAAAACATATTTTTTATGTTTTAAACCATATTAATAAACCAAAAAAACATATATAAAAATAGCATTTAAAACCATGAATATTATGTTTATTTAAACATTTTTTCGCATATAAATACATTTCTCTGCATGTATACAAGCTTAGGGTTTTCTTGTGAATTTTATTTAATGGCAACCTTAAATCTATGATAGGAAGTCAAAAGGATAAAAGTATAAAAAAATCTTAAAAAAGTTCCGATTATAATGACTTAAAAATGATTTTAGTATAAAACCGTATTTTTTTAGACAAATTAGAGACTTATCATGTCATATCCTTTTTTTCTTTTTTTCCTTTCTTTTCTTTATTGGTATGGGCACTTGAGAGCTTATAAACGAAGGCATGATCTCTCTCGATAGTCGATACCACCACAATTCATTTATGTGAGAAACTTTATAAAAATCGTATCAATTTTTACTAAAGAAAAATATGATTAACCAAAATTGTTCAAATGGATAGAGGACAACTAAATAGTATTACCATAACATTTGGGGTGATTTTAGGTTATGGGATAATACGGGATCCATAATCGATATGTTGTTAATGCTAATGGGAATAAGTTACATTTTCAACATCATTTTTTTGTCACATTATATATCATGTTATTCTTCACACCACATCATTTTTACTAGGAAATTTTCACAACACACCACACTATTTTAAAGAGTAAACTTTTTGTTTTTTACTTTCTTTAAAATGACCAATCATATGACCTTACCTACCTTCAATCAAAGGCGTTGCTTGGCGTTATATTCTCCATGGAAGACCATAGGGGTTAAGGCAGGACGGTATTCTTGGTGTGGCTACAACATGGAGGAGGTGCATCTAGGCGCTCTCTATGTCGTTTAGTTCGATATTGTATAGCCTAAGGGGTTGTTTGTTTTTTTTGTGCAGATCTGCGCAACCATTTTTGTCTGCGCCGTGCAGACAACGTGCATACATATGCCCTCGCAGAGTGTTTGTTTTATGGAAGTGCGCATATCAAAAAACGTCTGCACGAGGTCTTCCTGGCGCAGACATGGGCCACTGTCTTCAAAAGTGTTGGATTAGGTATCTAAGCCCATAACTATTATTGGTATGTACTTAACCCGATTATGAGCATGGTCCTTTTGGGTTGCCTTCACTCATGCAACTTGATAGGATGATAAGAGGAGAGAGAGTAGAATTTATTATATGAATAATAAATTAGTACTCAAAATGGTTTTATTAATATATTACAAGATTAATATATTATTTGGAAATCATATTATTTAATTAATATTGATCAAAAATTAATTTGGAATTAATTTAGTGGTCAAAAGAGACTGATTAAATAAAGGGGACTAATATTGTAATTATCTGATAGTTGCTAGTTGGGTTATGGATTCCTAATAAAAAGGGATTGGAAGAAATCTATGGAAAGCCCATAATGATTTCGTCCAAGGGGCTTTCTAGAAGGGCTCCATGGATTGCTTAAGGCCTAAGCAAGGAAGTTAGGGTTTCCACCTTAAAACCCTAATAGCCTCAACTATAAATTGACCCCTTAGCTAGTGGAATTCGTCCCTATGAGTTTCTGGGAAACCCTAGCTGAATTCTTCTTCTCTCTCAAGTCATTCTGTTTGTATTGGGTGTTTGTGACTCCATTAGAGGTGGAACACTTGGGGCACTAGCCTTTCAGAAGTCAAGATCAAGAAGGATTAGTCTTGTTATTGCTACATAACAAGAGAGGTAAAGTTTCTAACCCTTTTTCATTTGTAAATTTCGAAATATGTATGCTAGTCATAGGGTTATTGCTTTGGTTTTCATAGTTGTATGTTCAAATAGAGAAACCTAGATCCAAAGCAATTAGGGTTGCATGTACACCATAGGAATGATGTTATGCTCAAAACCCAACAGTGGTATCAGAGCCTAAGTCGTTTTTTTATTGAATAGATGCAAAAGTGAACTACCAAAAGGATCAAAAAGTCGAAAATTTGTTGTCTGACTGACTCGTTCGAGTCCAGTTTTGGACTCGACGAGTCCATAAACGGACTCGACGATTCAGTTCGGCTGACAGCATATTTTTCGAATTTTTGGCCAGATTTTGATTAGGATAATTACCAAAACTCGTTTTTCTTGTCTAAAATCGATTTTTATGATTGGTAATGGATATCCTTATCAAAATTAATGGATTTGGTAAATATGGATAATATAGGATTATTTTGATTCAAATATTTAACCTAGTAATTTTGAAAAGGTTTTAAATTACACCATATTGGTTTTATTGTTTAAATTTGAAATTAAAAGTTTAGTTTTTGAAAATTTAAATAGTTGGACCATATTATTTTGAAAGGTTTCAAAATTTGTCCTCAAGTTTTGGAGATTAAAATTTAATTAAAAAAGTATTAATTCTGAAATATTAAATTCTAAAACACTAGTGTTTTGAAAAGTTAAAATTACACCCTTATGGATTTTATTAAGTTAATTAAGTGTTTAATTAAAAGAGAGAATTAATAGTAATATGGTTTAAATTAAATTAAAAGTCTAATTTATAGTTTAAACCACCTAGTATTTTAAAAGTGTAAAATACACCCTTATACAATATAAAAACTCTAATATATTATATATGTATAAGTAAAGAGTCAGTCTTACCGTTAGTAGGTCTCATTCACGAAGCTGGTTTATAAGGGGTGTTTAAGGAAACGGCCTGTAAAATGACCACCATTAGGTATCCACTCTTACCCACCGCACCCCTGACTAGTGGAGGGTCGTTAGCCGAACGGGTAGGATAGGACACAACATTCCATTATAAGTATAATGAAATACGAAGTAACTAAACACTTTTATAAATTCCCAAAATCTTAGTTACTTTAGGAAAAATGTGAATTTGGTGCTAATCCATGAAATTGCACATTGTACTTTGTTGATTGTTAGTGGAACATTTGTGGTTAACCGGCACACTAATATGGGACTAATGAAGGATGACAATGGGTAGCTCGTAGATTATCATATATCAATGGAGCGTGTGTGGTTAATCGACACATTGATTAGGTGATAAACGTCTTCGAGAGTACCAAGCTAATTTGCATGGTTATTCACACATTGTTTGTGATCATCGGCATCCCAGTCACAAACTTGAAGGGCATAATCGAGATTAAACATGCCACTGAAAATTTCAATGAATCTCAAAAGATCTAGGAATTTCAATTCATTTAAAACCTAATTTTTCATTGCGCTTTTCATGGTGGAAATTGGTAAATCGTCATTTACCTACCTTCAAATATTCTGCAATTGGATTACGACATCCCTCTTCCGAATTGTAGAATATTGTGTTGGGTCCTAGCCTTGATATTTCATTTGGGTGTTATATTAAGGACTCTTATCAACTAACTTGAATTTCTCCCGTTTTGTAGATGTCAAAATCTAACAACTATGGTCTTCCTGAATCCTTTGGAAAAAGCTTTCCTCATGAAGATGATGTTCCACGATTGGATCGTGGAAACGAAAATCATGCTTCACTTCCTCCACCTCCTCCAATAGTTCTCCCTAACCCACGTGTTCGAAGACTTGAAAAGTTCAAGGTCACTCAAGGTTTATTGGCAAGCAAATACGAAGATGGAAAGTCTATGTGTGCACACGTATTGGAGATGAAGTCACACATTGATAGGCTGTGAATGTTGGGTGTCAATGTCTCGAGGAAGCTGGCTGTTGACTTGGTTCTTTAATCACTTCCTGAATCATATAGTGAGTTCATTAAAGATTACTATATGATGGACCACGACGTGACCCTCATTGATCTCACCTATTTGCTTATTGTTGCTGAATCGACAATGATTTGGCACATTGGTTGTAACATCCCAAAAATACAGTACAAAAATTTCGTTTTAAACCATTAGTCAAATATAAAAACCATAAGTCATGTATCAAGTCACATGTCAAAATAAATCAGAGTATAAACATCCCAGGCTAAACAAATGGTGTGTGCACTGCAATCTTCCCGAGCTCCTCTTTTAAAATCTGAGTACCTGAAACAAAATCTAAAAACCGTAAGCACGAAGCTTAATGAGTGTAACATACACGTTTTGAAATCGTGTTATGTAATTTGAAAAGTTAATAATATTATGAAATATTATGTGAAATTGAGTGTTGAGTTCTAACAGATAGTTTTTACTAGAAATGAAGTAAAACTATGTTTAGAATCACTCAGAAAATATTGGAAGTCTTATGAGATTCCAATTAAAAGCCAAATAGTAAAATTTAGCGAAAACATAAAATTTGAAATAAGTAAAATTTTATTATTGAAAGTTGTAAAGAATCTCATTAGAAACATTTAGGCGAAAACCTCGTCAAAATCCGAGTTATAACGAAGAAGTTATGACCAATCGAAGATCCGCGACAAAACCAACACGGCACCGAATGACGTAAAAAGTGAGTTTTTGATAAACTACTTTTTAGCCTTGGTGATCTAAATTAAAGTCGTAGTATTTGTTAAACCGAGAATTTTCATAAAAAGAACGCCAAAATCTGACATCGTATGAGGAAGTTATGATTTTTCTAAGTTTCAGCTTAGCAGTAGACAACTAAAAACTCGAATT